AGGTATAGAGAGAAGGTTCGCACAATATATACAGAGTGTTTTTTTTTAAATCGGACAGTATGAGGAAATCTGAAACCAAGTCGAGTCGATTAGCACTAAAGGAAATTTTGATAAATTTTATTCATTTTTATGGCCAATTCACACTTGACCAAAATATTAACTACGTCAAAATTGTTTACACAAAAAAGGAATTAATGGTTGCTAAGACAGTTTCCTTGTGTCTTCTGTGGTTTCGAAAATCCCCATACTGCCCCATTAAAAAAAACACTGTATAGGAGAGATAGGAATGAGTGCGGAACAATTAGCATAACAAAGATCACACACACACACACTTGATGTATATACGCAGTACACAGACGGCTCGGGTGAGCGCGTCGCGAGTGTTAGGGCGCATTCCCATTATGTCGTAACGTTTATTTATCGTTGGACGACTGTCCAACGATAAATAACGATAAATGTTTGACCCCTGGAATTTCTCTGCCCATAACCAAATTTCTCCACTCTGGGCTCATCAACCATTCGACTGCCCAGTTTGGCGTTGAAGTCCCCCATGACAACATTGAAGTGTGTTTGGGAGGTATGTATGGCTTAACTTATGTCCTCATACATAGCCTCTACTACCTCATCTGGGTGTGTAGAGGTCGGTGCGAAGACCTGTATGACCTTCAGCGAGTAGCGCTTGGATACTCTGAGTATAAGGTACGCAACCCTGCTTGATACACTCCCGATGGATGTAATGCTGCCAATAAGGGATTTGTGGGCGATAAACCGACACCACTCTGGGACTGCTGGTCACCTTCCCTGAAGTAGAACAAGTTGCCAGATTTCAGGGCTATCGTGTCCTCCCCCTCTCTACGGACTTCCGACAGCCCCACGACATCCCAGTGCAACTTGTCCACCTCCTCTTCCAGCTCGACGATCCTCTCGTCCAACCGCAGTGTGCGTGCGTTATACGTTGCCAGGGTCAGGGTCGTTTGACAGTCGAATCCCACCCAGAGATTTGAACCCCTGGTGCCAGAGCTTCCACGACGTCCGTCAGCGCCTCTATTGCTACTAGCGCCGCCGGGCACTTGGGAATACTTTTCTGTGCTATACATACATTGGGGGGTTTTTAGACCATTCCCCGCCACGATGGTCCAATGCGTGTTGGCAGGTCGCCAGAGCCTCGTCGGTAGGAACAGGGTGTAACGCGTGCAGGTAAGGTAGCTATTGAGCACCGTAGGTATTGGGTGGCACCCCTGACATCCCTTAATATTTTGTAATAATATCTATAATTAAATTTGAACAAGACTCAATTCACAACAAAAATTTAGTTGTAAATAGTTTTTGCCCTCGATTTCGGGCAATAATGGGTTTTAACCCGATTTAAAATCCGGACCCAACGCTAATGCAAAGCGAGTCGAGGGCGCGGGGTACGAGAGAGGAGAGTAGGAAGCAGAACACGTGTAGACAACGAAAAAACGTGACGACAATAGTAGCTGCGACTATCTGTCGTCACGTTTTTATCGTAACATTTTATTTATCAACATAATGGGAATGCGCCCTAAGGGAGAGGAATTTTAACGCGAGCCTAGATTTTAGGTGGTGAGGTGTGGAGCGCCGCGTCATTCAAAATTAATATGAATAAAAAACCGACTTCAAAATTACGTGGAATTACGTCTATTTGCTAAGTTTTATTGAAATATCCCCTATTTCGCCACTATACAGGTCTTGACACTGGAGATAATAAAAATCGTTTCTCACTACTCAAAGTATATCAAGAGAAAAACGCCTTAAATTGGAGAAATAGCAAAATCAACCATTAAAATAATTGCTCCTTAAGTAAAATTTCAACAAAAAAGAATCATGAAAATCTGTTCACAAATACCGGAGTTATCGCGTATAAATATAAAAAAAATATAAAAAACGCGGGTAGGCGCTTAAGTGAACACACGAAATATTTTCTGCTCCCAAATTTTTTTATTTAAAAATAGTAAATGTGTATATATTTCAAAATTTAATTCACTGGCACTTAGGTTGACTGTCTCCTAACTCTCACACAACTTTCTCTCACTTTATCCATCTTCTGTATAATGGAAGCCTCAGCAGAGCAGCTCATGAAGAGTATTCATGAATTATCTTCGCTGTTTAATAGGAGGATGGGCGAATTCGAGAAGAATATTCAGCAGCCCGGCGCTAACACAACGGTGAAGAGTCTTACAGCGGACTTCTACACTTTCAAGTCCTTTGTTTGGAAAACCATTGGCATGCTAAAATCCCAGGTGGAGCTCCTGCACATCTCCTTTGATCGTCTTGAGATGCACTCCCGCAGGAAGGTCTTGCTTTTTCATGGAGTCAAGGAGGATGTTGGGAAAGACACTTGCAAGAAAGTTTCGGTCATATTATCTGACCAATTGAAGTTGTCCGGCATTAGTAACGAGGCATTTGAATCTTGCCATAGATTGGGTGCTAAAAGGAACACAGCCCGGCCTATATTGGTTCGTTTTACCACTGTGCATCTACGGTCCATGGTGTGGAAAGCTAAAACCGCGTTAAAGGGATCCAAAACGTCGATTTCCGAGTTTCTGACAAAGCCGCGGCAGGACGTGTTTGTGGCAGCTCGAGCTCACTTTGGTATGAAGAGGTGCTGGTCGGCTGACGGAGTTATAGTTGTCCTTCTTCCTGATAAGAACCGTAAGAAGATTGTTTCTTTGGCTGAGCTAAAACTATTGACTTCTCAGTACACCAAGGATTCCTCGTCGTGACTTCGTACTGTGCAGTAAAATGACGATCTATCGGGTTTGTTGTGACCGTTGTAATTTTGCCGGCTTATACTCTGTTCGTATTTTTAAATTATTGTGGGGTATTCAGTTTACATTATATATAATTTTGCACTCAAAATTGTAATACCTCCTATTTTAGTTAAAACAATCTCACCCACATAATGTCAATTTCACTTTTTTTTTTTGTCTTTTTTCTTGTTTACTTTTATGCTCCCCATAGACAGGCAGAGTCTTTAATGCATACAGCCCTCTCTGTTGTCACTTTTCTTATGGCTATGGAACATTATACTTACAGCAAATTCCAATTCAAATTGTGTTTTTCCATTCATTTTATTTATTTTATTAATTTGAAATTGTAATTATACTGTCACATTTTTAATTTTTAAGTTTTCTTTTTTTTTGTAAGTTTGGAGTTGCTCAACATGTCAACCTAGGCAGTGAGTTCTTTTGGCTAATTTAATTTATTAATTTTTTTTATTTTTTATTTTAAATATTTTTTGTTTGTTTGTTTTATATCTATATAATTTTTTCGTATTTTACGTATTTATTAAGTTTACATATTTATTTTTCAATGATTGTAGAAGATGAATATTTTTCTTGCTCTTCCGATGATTACGAAAGTGCGCAAAGTCTTAATTCTAGTCTTTCTGACTCTGATCCTCTTGAAGATAAGCTTTCTAATATATTTAGCAATAACTCCAAATTTCTTTCCCTAGTGCACATCAACGCGCAGAGCATTCCCGCTCACTACAACGATCTTCTCACATCTTTTAGCGCCGGCGTAGTTGATAGTATTCTCGTATCGGAAACTTGGCTGAAGCCTTCATTACCTTCGACTAGCTGTTCCATTCCAGGCTACAAACTCTTTCGCAATGACCGTACGGGCTGCGGGGGTGGTGGTGTTGGTGTTTACCTACGTAGCCACATTCCTGCTGACGTTGTTTGCAGTTCTCAGTCACAGTATACTGGATCTTTGGAATATCTGTTTCTTTCAGTAGTAGTCCACCATAAAAAAATTCTGCTTGGTGTTTTATATAGCCCAAATGACAAAACAGACTACTTTAACACCTTGGAAGGTACTCTTGTAGACTTGGTTCCCCTTTTTGATCATGTTGTTCTTATGGGCGACCTAAATACTTGTATTCTCAAGAATAACTACCGTTCGGATAAGTTATTAGCTTTGACGTCTGCGCTTGATCTCCAAGTGCTGACGACATTGAAACCGACCCATTACTTCCCTAACAGCAGACCTTCCCTGATTGACTTATTGATTGTTTCTCACCCTAAGCTGGTCCTTTCGCATGGGCAGATGGATGCTCCTTTTTCACATCACGATTTAATTTTTCTCTCTTACAGAGTGCGTCCACCTAAAGTTAAAGGAAAGGTCCGTCTATTGCGCAATTTTAAGCATATGGATCTTGTTCGTTTGAGAGAGGATATTGGTCGGGTTGACTGGTCTTTGCTTTTTTCGTCTGACAGTATTGACGTTAAGGTTGATATTCTTAATACTGAACTTGTAAAAATTTATGACTCTCATGCACCAGTACGTCCAGTACGTGTCAGACACGCACCAGCTCCTTGGCTTTCGCCTGAGATTAGAAGGGTTATGGTGAAGCGTGATAGAGCCAAGTGCCGTCTAAAACGTGAGCCCTCTCTATTAAACCTCGAAGCCTATAAGAAGTTACGAAATCTCTGCAACAGAATGTGTAGGGATGCTAAACGCCGTTATATTCATTCCACCATTCAAAATCTTTCTCAGGCTCAGGTCTGGAAATTTTTGCATTCTATTGGCGTGGGCGAGTCCATGGATGTTTGTCAAAGCAACGTGGATCTCAATGCCCTAAATTCTCATTTTTCGACTCCCCCTGTCATTCTTAACCATCTTACTAAATCCAGTACCCTTTCTTCTCTTTCTAATCTTGTTCCACCTGTTTATCCCCCTTTTACTTTTAACATGGTCTCAGAAGAAATTGTAATGAAATGTGTCCGCTCAATCTCCACCAAAGCCATCGGCAGTGACAATTTGAGCCTCGACATGATTCTACCTGTGTTGGAGGACATTGCACCTGTTGTTACTCATATCATAAATTATTCTCTCTCGCGCAATGTTTTTCCAGCACAATGGAAAAAGGCTTTTGTTATACCTCTCCCTAAAATCCCAAATCCTACATCACTTTCACAATACCGTCCTATTTCTATTCTTCCTATCCTCTCTAAAGCTCTTGAGTCCATTGTCCATAGACAACTTTATTCTCACCTCATCTCCCATAACCTTTTATGTCCATATCAGTCTGGCTTTCGTCCATCTCATAGTACTGTTAGTGCTTTACTGAACATTACTGAAGACATACGTCATGCTATGGATGAAACGAAGCTCACTGCTATTGCTTTGTTGGATTTTAGTAGTGCATTTAACTCCGTTGATTTGGACATTCTCATGGGTACTCTTCAGGCTGTTAATATCTCCTCTACTGTCCTTAGTTGGTTCTCTTCTTATCTCTTCGGTCGCCAGCAGTGTGTGAAAACTAATGATGGCTCGTCATCCTGGTCTAATTTAACTGCTGGTGTACCTCAAGGCGGCGTACTTTCTCCCTTACTCTTTTCAATTTTTATTAATAATATTTCCCGCGTAATTTCTTCTCCCTTCCATCTGTATGCTGACGATCTTCAACTCTATCGTAACTTTAAGGTAGGTGAGGTCTCTGAGGCAATTTCGGCACTGAATTTCGATTTGTTGGCTATCCAGTCATGGGCTAAGTCGTTTGGCCTCTTAGTTAATCCCGCTAAGTCGCAGGCCATGATTGTTGGTAGTAGCAGAATAAGATGCAAGCTTGATTGGTCCTTAGTACCTGCGTTGGTCTATGATGGAACGTCCATTGCATATACTGACAAAGCCAAAAATCTAGGCATAATAATGGATTGTACCTTGTCTTGGACCTCTCATGTTAATGAGGTCAGCAGGCGTATGCACCACTCATTTCACTCCCTCAAACGACTCCAATATTTTCTCCCTTTTCATACTAAAATTATGCTAGCGCAAACTCTTCTTCTCCCCACACTTGACTATGCCGACGTTTGTTATTTAGATGTGACCGTAGAGCTTTTAAATAAATTAGAGCGCTTACAAAACCTGGCTATTCGGTTTATTTTCGGTCTCCGTAAATATGATCATGTTTCCGAATTTCGTGCTCGGTTAAATTGGCTCCCAATTCGTCTTCGCCGTGATGTGCATATCCTGTCCACTATTTATAATATACTTCGTGACCCTAACTCCCCACCCTACCTTCGTTCCCGGTTCCAGCTGCTGCCCCTTCCCACCCGCTCTAGACGTCCCTGCATCACTAAGACGCTCGTTCAACCCAGCTGCAATACTAATTTCTTTTTTAACTCCTTTTCTTGTCGTGCAGTGCAGTTGTGGAATAAACTCCCTTCCCACATCCAGGCGAGCCCGTCGATTGCTTCTTTCAAGAAAAGTTTGAAAGCGCACTTTCTTGCAGAACTTTCTTCGTAATCATCTTATTGTTTCTTAATTATTATTATTTTTTTTTATTATTATATATTTATATATATCTATATATATTATGATGATGCTATTTATTATACGTTATTTATTGTATTTATTTATAATACTTATGTGTGTATCGGTATTTATACAAATTTATTCGATAGTTTATAGTATTTCACCCTCTCTATCTTGCACGCTGTTGCCCGTTTACAACTTACGCTCTCACCACCATAGGTTGACTGGAAGAGATCTCTTTTAGAGATAAGTCCACCTTTGCTCACTTTTGTTCACAGATTTTTTCTTGTTGTTTGTTTTTTTGATGCAATAAAGAATATAGTTTGTGAACTGATTTTTATAATTCTTTTTTGTTGGGAAGAGGGTACCTCAGGAATGGTCCCATTTAAATTTGAGGAAAATATTCCACCTCTAAGGGCGGCGAACTGAAGAAACGGCGGGGATGAATCCGGTTTCGCGCACTTTCCGGTAACCAATTTCAATAAAAACTTGGCAAATAGATGTCATTTTTGATTGTTGAATTTTTTAAAGATTTTTTTGTCCGTTTTTTTAGTACTCTATACTGAGATTCAGTCTGCTCGCTCGACGTACTATTTATTCCTTTCGTGTACGTTTGGCATACCCTTACGCCGATTGGCACAACCTTACACCGCGGTGGCAAGCATTATTGTGTATGCCATCGAAACAACAAGAAGAAAACTTGTCAGATTTTGTTCTTGATTTAAAAATACGAATCATTCTTATTTTACAAAAATATTTAGTGATATTTTTTATTATAGAAACGTTCTTCATTAGCACATCTAATTTTTTTTATTATATAATTATGTTCGACTGAGTATTGTTTCAGATCTGAGTATTCTGGACAATACCTTCTGAGTTTTGACATTCTGACTGACTGGGGAATTGGGTGTATATCCATAATAAAAATAGGTCCCAAGATACTTCCCTGGGGCACTCTGCATATAACATTTTTAGTTAATATAACCATAGATTTAGTATATGGGTACCTATATAATAAATCTATGATTATAACATACATTTATTTATATTATGCATTAATTTGAAATAAACTTACAATAGCGGCAACAGCTTCATTAGTACTATACTTGTGAGTCAAGTATTCTTTGAAATATTTTTCACCTGTATAAGCACTTTGGGTATTGTCGTCAACTCTGGAACACCTGGAATAGAGAACGAGTAACATATTTTACAATTTATTTGTATTATTATTTTTGGAATGCTAAAAGTGCTAGAAAAAATTAAGTCTGGGTCTCGACGTACATTTTCAGGTTAATCAATGTTTAGAATATTAAAAATGTAATACATTAAGCGCGTTTGTGCACTGCATCCGATTCATATACGTGTTCCAAATCCTAGACTACAAATCTAGAAAACCCGTACCCACTTCGGATGTCTCTTGTGCACTAAGTCCGATTCGAATCCCAGAAAATGTGACTACCGCTTGTACATCTAGAGATAAAATGACATTTCGGATCTTCGTTTCTCGGATACGGAACTAATACGAATCGGGTGTAGTGCGTAAACACCCTAACCGCACCTTTAAAAAGTGCTACTCAACGTTACAGCGTTAAACCGCAGGCGCGAGTATTGTTTATTATGAAATAAATTCGTGACAAAACGATATTGTATCACCTGCGGTCAACTGCTGCAGTCTACGTACTGCTCATTATGTCCCGACAAGAATGTATTTGGGAAAAGGGTTTGGGTTATAGTCCACTACGCTCTCAGCGCTATGTAAAACTTACCATAATTGGGAAAAATGTAGAAGGATATTTGGAATCTTCACCGTTAAGATGCTGCCCTCCTTGATTGTAAAATTTTGAGTTGGTTCAACGCTGTCACATTCAGTGTTGTCGTTCTTCAAATTAAAGAGCAGCGTATTTTCTTCCGCTCCTGTCCCCAAACATAATAACATATTTTTTATCGCGGGACTAAAACGAGCCAATATATGTATACCCGAGGTGGTTAGATACCCGAGGTTTAGTGGGGGCGTCTATTACTCCGAGGGTTTGTATTGGCCTTTAGTTTCGAGGTAAAAACTTTAGTTTTCACTTAGACTGCGAGAAAAAGAAAATATTTCAATCGTTTTCGCTCTACAACAAAATTACGAACCAAAATTCTGACGATTTCGCGGTATTTTTTACATGTGATTCTTTTGTGGAGTGAAGTTTAAACGCTGTGTGTATGTCAACAAAGCTCAAAGCCGCGACGAATTAAAAAGTGACCGTGCAGTGCTTCGAAAATTAGGAAGGTACGTTAAATTTTACCAATAAATTAAGGGCCAGAACTATCGCGAATCGAATCCGAAAACTCCTTATACAGACCGCACACAAAGCTAACCATCAGCCTTTGAAGTCAATAAACTCTCGTTCTGACTCCGCCCACTGTAATGTTGTTGCTAATAACGGCAACGGCGTCTATTTATCGTCGGGTGTCAATATTATTCACTATTTTTCGGAAAACTTTGAGACGTCGTCGTCGATTTATTTATTTGTTAAGTATTTGAAAAACAAATCGAACATGTATTTTTTATTTCTATTACACAGTATGCTCCTCTAAAATAGGCAGTGGTTTTATTATCACCCTGTAGATATGACTCAGCTCTGTAGATATAATATACGCTACAAATGATAATGTCAACCGGTATATCATAATATTCAAACAACTAACCACATGATTGTCTACATAATGATCGTCATCATCATCAAAAACCCTATTAGTACTGAGTATGACGACACGTTATAAATGTTGTTGTTAATGTTACATCTAGAGTGCTAAGTCATATTTCTATAAATGTATTGAACAAGGTATTTATTTCCTGATAAGGTGAACTAACAAATATAAAAATTCTCAATTCTTTGGTTTTGGCGTTGGAAATGAATTCTTTTTGCGTGTCTAAATAGCGAATTTTTTTTTCGAACAAACCAACGATTATAAAGATAATAAATTATTGTTTAGAGTAACTTACCAATTACACGAACTGATGCCGTGCACGTCATTTTTTCAAAATAATTTGCATTATCTTGATGTATCTGAGCGCCATTTTGCGGAAACATTAAAAACTTACAAGTCGATTGAATAACATCCATATATCCATTTTTCTTGAATCCCTTCAACAAAGTAAAAGATTTACTTAAGAATTTAAGAATTATGAAGTTTTGACCAAAAGGGCAAAAGTTGATGAACATAGAACATTTTGTATTCGATAAAACCACTCTTGGAAAACGTTAACAACGAGACAAAGTATTGTTCCAGTGAACATCAAACTACTGCAGGCCTACCGCTGAACTGATCCACTTCCTGAGGTGCAGGAGGAGTAGTAACAGTTATATCGCGCTGCACAGGGAATAATTTCAACAACATCCTTCTGACTCGATTCAAGAACAAGTTGATTGACAAAGGTGAAAAATTACTAGTGTACTCATTTCATTTAACAATGAAATAGTTTTTTTATTATAATTTCACATAACAACAATTGATTAATTTGGTAGGCAGTTTTTCAATCAACTTGTTACTGAATATCGTTGGGAAAACCCATAACACGACACGTATACTAATTTAACTTTTCACTTTTTCAGTACGTATAGTATTTACTTACTACAACCGCGACGGCTTCCTTCGGGTGTTCGTATTCAAGAAAATCATCTGTTGTTAAAAATAGTTCACCATAGGAACCATTAATTCTGCACCTGAAATACTCAATATTCAATATATTTATTGCATTCATGTGGTACATGTCTTAAAATTAAAATAATGCTACACATGTGAGTCCTTTGTTAGGGATAACAATAAGAGCAGAGGTAGGCCGAGGTTTCAACTATTAATTAGAATTTGTAACAACTATAACCACAACCCGCCAATAGTTCCATCGCGCTACCGCTAGATGGCATTAGTTGTACTCTGAAACGCGCTATCGTTTTATTAACTCCAACAGTATAAGTAATCTCATATGTTTTGAATTATTTATTGGGCTTCCTCGTCCGGTGGGGCTTCCTCGGGCCCAAGTAAGCCCCTTGGAAGCAGTTTCTCGTCAGGGTGTTGAAAAGCCCCACCGGACTAAACACCAGCTGCTGAAGATGGTTGAGAAACCTGCTGGATCACCGGCAGGGACTCCCATCTGAAGCAGCTCACCCTATTGCGACACCCAAGGGTTATACCCAACCCCAGGACCCACTCGTCTCCACGAGCGGCGATTGACCCCGCCGAAAGAGGCCGACGCCTCGAACGGCCCCCTCAAACCCGCAGACGCGAGTTTTGAGACGACTACGGCAGGAATTATTTATGCTTACTACCACTACAGCATTGATACGGCATTGAACGGCACTCAAGTTGTTGAGACGATTCGGTTCTCTTACTACTATTCTACGGTTTTGGCAATGAACTGTGTGCTTTCACTATAGTGAGACATACAGCTAGGTCCCTAGCCGCATATCTTTTGTATCGTCGTGTATTTAATATACGCCTTGTGCACCTTCCGCCTGCGTCTCAATTTCTACGCACCCCCTCCGCTCACCAGCGCTACAATCTGGCGACCAACGAGGGCCACATAGAACCTCAAAATTTTGTAACGCGATCTGGACGAAGGACTACGTACAAGTTGAAAACGACCACAAAGACGAGACGAAAGATGAATCTCAGCGAAGACCAGTTCGACCGTTTCCTGGCGACAATTGGGAGCCAGCGCCGCAACACCCTCGCCTCGTGCAATGCCTCGTACGACGGTGAGAAAAGCGCGGACGCCGTTGAAGCTTTCCTAGCCGCCGTTCGCGTTTTTAAAAAAATAGAACAAATACCGTACACTGCAACCCTAGATGGCCTTCCATTACTTCTACGAGGTGAGGCTGCTGTATGGTGGCAAGGCCTAAAAGATGAAGTTACTTCCTGGAACGAGTTCGAACACCGCCTGCGCTGCAACTTTGCGCCAAAGAAGCCCGAGTATCTTATCTATCACGACATCATAAGTGAAAAACAAGAAGAGGCCGTACACACTGCACGCTTCATAGCCAAGAAGAGGATGCCGTTTTCACAACTACCAACAAACGAGAAGCTAGAAGAAAAACAACAGATGGACTTAATATATTGCTTGCTGCACCTTAGCATTCGCGACAAGGTCCCACGCAACACTGTCAATACTTTTGATGAACTTCTTGATGGGGCCCGTGCCGTTGAACAAATATTACAAGAAAAACCCACAGAACCAGCGACACCTCTGCCGGCAAGATCCAATTACAATAAAGGAAGATGCAACTTCTGCAGGAACTATGGCTATTCTTACGAACAATGTCGCAAGCGTAAGAACAGTGAGGCGAAGGCACCTCCTCCACCTAAAGATATCAAACAAGAAGCAACTCCACTGCTTTCAAAAGTATTTTGCTACAGTTGTGGAGCACCAAGCATCTACCGTAGCAATTGCCCGACGTGCTCAAACAAGCCAACAGCTTCTACTGCTAAAAACCTAAATTTTTGCGCCATAGGCATACGTATTGACGCACAAGCAAGACCTGCAGTGTTTATCAAGGTGAATGGACTGGATGGCACAGCGTTTATTGACACTTGCACGAAAACCAGTGTTGCGTCATTCCAACTGTACGAAGCCCTCAAATTACGTAGCCTTACGACCCATGAGCAAGTGGTTTATGTTACCTTAGCGGATGGAATTCAGCGGCGTCAAAAAGTACTTATGCAGCAGTTACTTTAGGTGGCCGTACCTTCCAGAATAATTTCATCGTGCTACCGGAATCACCAGACAACCGCACCCTGCTGGGAATCGGATTTTTAAAGAAGGCTGGCATTGTACTGAATCTCGCCCAATTCACATGGACCTTCATCCATGATCCTACTGAAATACATGAGATGTATACGGAGGACTTCGTGCACTTCAATAAGGAAAAGAGCCTTCACCCAAGTCCTCCAAAAATAATTAACCTAGCACTCTCTACCACAACACCGTCACATGCATCGGCTCCTGCTAATAAATTAATACGCACTCAGGACAATGCTGCCGCTACCTCTGCCACAGCTGTATCTGCATGTGAATCCTCCGCGCTTTGCCAAAGGAAGGAAGCTGCTCTCTCGACAGAAACAGCATCAATACCCTACAAGTTGATTCCATTGGACTTACCTAGATCACCGATTCAAGTCAAACGAAGCCAACAATCTTCGACGGTTACTCTCCGCGCTTTGATTATATGATGAGAGATGCTGTATGGAGCGTCGACACTCAAGAAGTAAATTTATTTCCGACGTCTAGAGCTTTATTCCCCGAAACCGACATTAGTATTAATTCTGTAGATGTTAGTACAATAAATGCAAAGCAATCTGTAGAGCTAGATAGATTGTTAAAAGAGTACATTGATGTTTTTGTTCCCAATGGTAAACCTACTTCCGAAACAGAGCATTGTATACATATAGTGGATCATCCACCCATATCGATGCCACCTTATAGATTATCTCCGCCTCGTAAAGAGATTCTTAAAAGCGAACTTGAAAACTTGTTGAAAGACAAAATCATTGAGCCCTGTAACTCTCCTTGGGCTGCCCCTGTTGTAATGGTCCCTAAAGTAAACGGATCACTTCGACTATGCGTGGACTATAGGAGGCTAAACGCCATAACGGTACCTGACACATATCCGATCCCAAGGATCGACGATTTGCTCCATGAAGCGAAGCCCACTCCATTTATGTCGGCATTGGACCTGAAAGCAGATTACTGGCAAATACCAATGAGGAAAGAAGACCAAGATAAAACTGCATTTATCACTTCTTTCGGTATATTCAAGTTTACAAGGATGCCTTTTGGTTTGAAAAATGTACCTGCAACGTTTCAAAGGCTGATAGATAGATTCCGCGTCAGTCTCAATAATGTAAAATTATTAGCCTACCTTGATGATCTCATCGTGTTTTCTGAAAGTTTTCAATCTCATCTCTGTGACCTCCGAGATGTACTCTCAAAGCTTCGACAATATAATTTGACGGCCAATAGAGAGAAATGTCGATTCTGCTCCTCTTCACTTCGATATTTGGGACATCTCATTATGCCGAACGGGCTACAAGTAGACCCAGAAAAGGCAGCTGCCATTGTTAACCTGGTAGGTTAACAATGGCAGCCAACTACTTTGAAACATTTGGTCACGTTTGGTCACTGATTGAATTATTGATTGAAATTTAATTGATTAACGCCCAACACTGATCCAAGTTCTCTGGATATATAGAGGGTTTGCCTATCACAGTCATTACTGACCATCAGGCTTTGAAATGGCTGATGTCATTGAGGTCTCCAACTGGAAGACTTGCTCGATGGGCTTTACAACTCCAAGCATATGATATCACTATCAAATATGCACCCGGAAGGACGAATGTGGTGGCGGACGCTTTATCGCGGCCACCCTGTAACGATGAGAATCGAGACAATTGTGATGTCTGCGCCATAACAGTGGACATACCTACAAGGAATCCAGCTGAGGTTAGGAAAGAGCAAATGAAAGATAAAAAAATCACAAACATAGTAGAAGCTTTAGAACAAACTAAGAATAAAGAGAATGCATATTATTGGAGCAATAAAGGCTATTTTCTAAATAATGGCCTGTTGTATCGCAACAATCCCTGTACTGAAACAGATGACGCACAGTTGGTTGTTCCTGAACATAAATGGGCTAATGTTCTGGCCGTTTACCACGATAGCCCCATGGCGGGGCACTACGGGTCTGAAAAGACGCACCAAACCATTTCGAAACGCTGCTTATCGCCTGGGATGCGGAAGTATATCGATAGTTACGTAAGAAATTGTATAGATTGTCAGCGTTATAAAGCTGCTAATCAAAAACCTGCGGGCTTATTACAGACCACAGTGATGAATCAGCGATTCGAAACAATTGCATTTGACTTATTTGGACCTTTACCGACTTCAGTTGACGGCCTGACATGGATATTAATTGTAGAAGATTTGGCCTCAAGGTGGGTCGAATTATTTGCTTTAGAATCTGCAACAGCTGAGAAATGTGCTATAATACTGGTGAATGAGATTTTCCTGCGATATGGGATCCCACGGAGGATGATTAGCGACAACGGTACGCAATTTGTGAGCGCTGTTATGCAGCAAATCGCTTATTGTTTGAAAATAAAGCATAGGCATGCTCAGACACTCCCGTGTATCATCCGGAAACGAATCCTGTAGAAAGGCGAAACAGTGACCTTAAGACACAACTCGCAATAATCGTAGGGGACAATCACCGTGACTGGCCAGACCAGTTACCATGCATTCGTTTCGCTATGAATACGACGTCATGCAGTTCTACTGAGTTTACGCCAGCTTATCTGACTTTTGGAAGAGAACTCCGAACCGTTGATGACAATCTTCATGATTTCCGCCAACTAGTGCTATCCGAGAACTTCATTCCCGAAATTACACCAAGGTTGTTACAATTAGCCAGCACCTTGGAAACAGCAAGAGAGGTACAAGAAATGAAAGAAGAGAGGAGAAAAGAATATGTAGATCGAAATAGACGGAAGGCTATAATGTTGGTGATCTAGTGTTGGCGACTCTGCATCCAATTAGTAAGGCGAATAGAGGTGTTTGCTCCAAATTTGCACCACGACGTGACGGACCTTACGTGATAAAAGAGCAAAAGGGCCCTTCTTCATATGAAATTGAGGATACAAAAAATCCCGGTATTGCTCTCGGAGTATATCATTCATCTGCACTGACACCTTTCAAGAGTGATGACAAGGATCATCCTCAGCCAATACGAAAACGGGGACGACCTAAGATAAACGGCACCACAACCAGCAGCACTACTGTTTAAGAGACGCGGTCGGGGCCGGCCGAAGAACAACATTTAACAATCCTTTCCTGTCTCTTCGTCGGGACGCCTAACAGAGACAGAGGAGGAGACTGTAACAACTATAACCTCAACCCGCCAATAGTTCCATCGCGCCACCGCTAGATGGCATTAGTTGTACTCTGAAACGCGCTATCGTTTTGTTAACTCCAATAGTATAAGTAATCTCATATGTTTTGAATTATTGATGCTTACTACCACTACAGCATTGATACGGCACTGAACGGCACTCAAGTTGTTGAGACGATTCGGTTCTCTTACTGCTATTCTACGGTTTTGGCACTGAACTGTGTGCTTTCACGATAGTGAGACATACAGCTGGGTCCCTAGCCGCATATATTTTGTATCGTCGTGTATTTAATACACGCCTTGTGCACCTCCCGCCTGCGTCTCAATTTCTACGCACCCCCTCCGCTCACTAGCGCTACAAATTGTTATTTATCAAATACTAATATGAAATAAAAAATATGTCATATAATAAGCAGAATTATGTCACTTGAAAGTTTGTATTTAATTAGGTTACAATAGCATAACTTTATAGTATATCATTAATATTTATTTATTTTTCAAATTTATTATAATATTATTCATTTTATTTGTCATCAGAGTATTCATTTAAATCTTAATAGCATTTATTAATAAGATGTAATTTTAATTTTAGTTACAAACAGTGAATACTTTTCCTCGTTTTTAATAATGCGGAGCTCGTTGAATATCCTCACCAACATCGAGTGGGGACTTGAGCTGTGTATGTGTAGATGAGATCGTGGCAGAAGCAATCTATAGCGTGGTCTAACAGTGTGTCGTTGGGGCAGGTCGTCAATATTAGTATAAAAGTCAGGGTGTTGTTTAATAAATTTACAAATTTCTAAAATATACATATATAGAAAACAAAGTCAAAATTTTAAATTGTTTAATCAGTACTTCTCAAATTCCTAAGTATACGGATGCATCTTTTCTCTCGACTGTATGAAGTTTGTTTCGACTTCATGCAGTTAATGCGTGATGTCGTTAACAACTTCACGCGTTAGCGGCAAACATGCAATCAATCTGTTAACAGCCTAATTACTACAAGGGAAAGTGGAAAGCTGAGTTCAGATAAACCCTAAATGCGATAGAATATGCTGAGGTCTGGAAATCAGACTTGAAAAGTGTGTACATGGGAAAAATAGTCAATTTGTGAATGTGAGAAAATTAGCTTATAAAGAGAAATTTCAGTACTTTAGATATTAATACTATAGTATTAGATTGGCTGAAACTCTGTCAGGAATCAAGAAAAGTAAGGGCGTTTCTTAACGTAATAAGAAGAAGATAAGGACTGCCGGTTTTGCACTACATGTTTACATAAGTTTTGATTAAAATAAGCGAAGAAAAAGATTACCAAATATCGTTCACTTGTTCGTAGTTCCCAAAAATCTTGATCATGAACGGTCCTTCCTTGATGGTGATGTTCGTACTGGCGTCACAAAAATTGCCGTTGTCGCTAGTTTTTATTTCGAACAGAATCGAGTTTTCCAGATTCAGTCTATTCTCCACTGTAACAAAACCTTTGTTAATTGATGATGTCTTCTGAGTTGACGAAGATTTAGGTACCGGCTAGTTTAGGACAAGAGAGGATATTGGGTGTTCTGAAATACTGATATAAAATTACCTCGTCTGAGACCAGCCAAGTAACCGTCTAACTTGAAGACCAGTTTCAAGTACAGCGTGCAATGTAAAAACTTATACATTGATAATGTGTAGTCGCTTGGCCGGGGTGCGAATTTCAATCTTCCCGTAGACTTAAGCTCTCTATTCCTTCTCACCGCACTGATTTTTTGTCTAATTCTTTTACCCTTCATTCAATCCGTCTTTGGAACGCGCTCCCGCTCCACGTAAGACAAGCTCTCACCAAATTAACTTTCAAGCGCATGTTGCGCAAGTATCTGTTTGACAATTGTCAAAATCAAGACTCTGTGTAATGTTGCTTTGAGTATATATTATTATATTATTTATTATTATAAAATATATGTAAGTTTATTATCTATGTATAATAAGTATGTTTATATTATGTTATTTATTTTATACCATATACATTATCGTAAAGCTTCTAGTCTCTATACGGTCTTGGACTCTGAGATAAGCTGTACCGGGTAACTCATTCTGGAGGGTAGCGGGATCCGAGGCACGGTCCTGCCGTTGGCCGACCGCAGGCAATAGGGGGCCCAAGTAGCGCGCCAGCCACGTGCAAAAGGCTGCCCCGCCACCTCGCGAAAAATCCCGAAATGCTCCACCGTGCCAGTTGGCGACTGGATGAGAGGACCCGGTGGCCATGTCGGGGGGGCTCGGGCGTCCCCGCAGTCTCCATGTGAGTTCCCCAATGGGCAGCTATCTTAAGAGATCCTATTGGTCAACTGAGTGGCGCCTGGAACATCAAATTTTTCCCCACCAACACCACCAACCACCATGAAAATAAAAAATCATAAGAAGAGTAAGTTTAAACAACGGCTGCACTTCCTCCCAATGAAGGTGCACCTCACTAACATCCGAGGCCTGCACTCTAACCTTGATCCGGTCCACTACCACCTAGAGACTGAGAAGACGCACCTATTCTTCTTAACGGAGACGCAAATAGTAACACCGTCTGACGTTGCGTACCTCAACTACCCAGGATACTCGCTTGAGCATAAATTTCTGCAGCGAGCTGGGGTTTGCGTATACGTACGTGACGACATTTGCTATCGGCGTCTCCGTTGCTTTGCAAGTAACGGGTTTTCACATGTATGGATTCTGGTGGACACAGAAATGGAGAAATATCTCTATATCTGTGTCTACAGATCGCACAGTGGTGACCAGGAGTCAACTAAGCTCTTCGTCCACCTAACTGAGATGGCAGATAAAGCCCAACAACGGTACCCTTCAGAAGAGCTTATTTTTCTCGGGGACTTTAATGCTCACCACAGTGAGTGGCTGTTTCCGTACGTAAAAACAGACCATGCTGGGAGGGAGGCGCGCAAATTTGCATTATCGCTAAATCTCACCCAGCTGGTAAGCCAAGCAACGCGGGTACCGGATGTTGACGGACATGCAGCCAATTGTTTGGACCTTCTGTTGACAACAGATCCACACGGTCACTCGGTTTCGATCTCGGCACCGCTGGGAACATCCGACCACTGTGTGAAGGAACGTTCGATCAAGAAATCCGAGAACCAATTGTAAGAGTCAGTGGGAAGCCCATAACAGGGAAGCTTACTCAAAAGGCTTGCGTGCTAGACCCTGTCAAAGGCTTTAGAAATGTTCAATGATACTGCAAGTGCTTCGCCTTGCTTTTCTATAGCCTCGCTCCATACTTGACAGGCATACACAAGAAGATCCTCAGTAGATCGCCCTCGTCGGAATCCGTACGCGATGTCTGAGGAGGTAGTTGTCTTCAAGGTACGACAGGAGACGATTGTTGAGTACACGTTCCATAGTCTTGCAGAATATGGAAGTGATTGAGATAGTTCTGTACTTGACAGGTCTGCTTCCTTTTTTTTGGCACAGGTTGCACGTTTGCAAGGTTCCACGACCTGGGAACTATACCGGTCTCAAGTGAGAGGCGGTACAGGCGTGTGAGACCAGGAGACAACTTAGGCGCACAGTTACGCAGGACTATTGGTGAAATTCCATCTGACCCGCTAGCTTTATTCACGTCTGGATTTCGCAGAGTTCTAAGTACCTCTTTTTGACGTATGCGAACTGGCGCCATAGTGCAGCAAGCCTGAGGTAAAGTAAGTGGTAGGTTCCCTGCGGCATCCAGACGCGAACGCTCTGCAAAGAGTGAGGCAAAGAGATTCAAATTTACATTTCAGGCAATGCTGATGACTTGAGCGCTATGGTTGTTTTGGTTAAATGATGATCTGAATCGTATTTCTGCTTGGTGTTCTCTAACGGCCTCGTTTTAAATGGAACTAAATCAAAATGTTTGATACTTGGCTCCCGTAGTCAGGTGCAAAAGATTATTAGTGCTGACCCACAGATTGTTTCTATCGCCTCAAAGTTCTGTACAATTTTAGATCTTTTATCAGCCAGGCTCTGAGAGTTCAGCTTTGCGAGGCACTGGTATTGTCTAGGCTGAACTATTGCACACGGTGTATAGTGGCTGTCCCAAAAAAACTCGAAAAAACTGATCCAGCGAGTGCAAAATTCTTGTCTTGCTCGCTATTGTTTTCGAATTTCTCATCGCACACATATCACGCCCTATCTAGACAAATTCGGCATTCTGAAAATGGAGGCCCGTCAGAAGCTATATTTGGCCTGCCTAATGTTTGATATAGTTAAAACCCGGAAACCTGATTATCTATACCACAAGTTTAATTGGTCGCAACGTGTAAGGGGGGATAAGTTCCGATTAGTTTCTGAAAATGTTATTAACATCCCAAAACACAGAACGACTGCTTTTCGCGGCGGTTTCAGGTATCGCGCCAGTAAGTGTTGGAATGATATTCCTACTCCATTGCGTGCCATCAATAAAAAACGATTTAAGCGTGAATACAAAAAGCATCTTTTGTCAGAGCAGATGTGTCTCGCTACATAGATATTTCCCTAAGTAATGCGTTTGACACCTGTAAACCTAAATTTCCGTACCTATATATCATATTTGGTGGCTATTGTTATAATTTAATATTATATTTGTAAACTTACATTATTATTATATTGCATACCTTCATTACTTACACTATTTACATTGTTTGCTTTACATCTTACACTTTTGCTTGATATATATATGTTTAGTATTTAGAGTTAGGTATATATATTTGCGTGTGATGCACTTTGGTGGCATGGCTTACTGGGCTGCGATCGCTCACCATATGGTACTGGCAGAAAACCAGCACTGTTTGACTTCTCTCGGTCTACAGTATTTATGTTGAGTCCAGGGCCATTTCAGTACAAACTGTAGTCATAGGTACATTAAAATTTTATCAGTTTTTATCATTGACTTACACATAAATGGACGACGGGTCTAATTCAAAAACCACGAAAAAAATGTCCCAAGTCCAATTTATTTAAACATAGTGACATGTAAAGGAATATGCAAAGTCAAAGTCAAAGTCAAAGATTATTTATTCCATAGGTAAAATAAATTTACACTTGAAAACGTCACATTTAAGCTACTACTCGTTCACTACGCTGACCTCCCTGAGAAGAACGAGCAAGAAACTCTAGGGATTGCTCTTTTCAAATAAACTTAAATGCTATGGAATACACTTTGAATCAAATTTGTGTGGATTCTGGAGCCATGTCGTCTTTCCATACATCTTTATCTAACACGTAGTCTTCAATTTTTTAATATGATTTTTCGATCAAAATATTTGTAATGTAGTTTTTAAACTTAGGAAATGATAAACTTAATATATGCTCCGGAATCTTATTGTAAAAACGTATACAGTTCCCCATAAAAGAGTTGTTTACCTTGGTTAAACGAAATCGTGGCACCATGAGTTTGGACTTAGCTCTAAGGTTAATATTATGGATATCTTCTTTCTTATTGAAATTATGTATATTTTTACGGGCATATAAAATATTTGAGCTAATGTACTGTGATGCCACAGTCATGATACCAGTCTCCTTAAACTTTTCTCTGAGAGATACCCGAGAGCCTAAAAGGTACACAGAACGAATCGCTCGTTTTTGCAATACAAATATGGTTTGAATATCTGCCGCTTTACCCCACATGAGAATCCCGTAGAACATTATACTATGGAAGTAACTAAAGTAAACTAGTCTAGCAGTACTAACATCGGTAAGCTCACGTATTCTGCGGACTGCGTATGCAGCGGAGCTTAATCTGCTGGCCAGGGACGATATATGTGGAAACCACTGAAGTTTACTATCTAAGGTCACTCCCAAGAAGACTGCTTTATTAACAAACTTTTCTCCGTTTATTTCTATGTTGAACTAGTCGATTTTACGTTAGGTAATTCAAATTTAACACATTTTGTCTTCTTGGCATTAAGCAATAAATTGTTAGCATTAAACCAATAAACTACCTTAGAGAGGGTATCATTAATACGGTCATAGTTATTGTCATGTCTGTCTGTTTTAAAAATCAAGGATGTGTCATCAGCAAACAACACTATTTCGCAATGGTCCTTAACAAAGAATGGCAGATCATTAATATAAATCAGAAATAAGAAAGGTCCAAGTATTGAGCCCTGCGGAACACCCATTTTTACTGGAGAACCCAAAGAAGTCACTCCATTTATGTCTACTTTCTGAATTCTACCGTTGAGATATGACGAGACAAGTTTCGACGCCTTGCCATTTACACCGTAATGTTCCAGCTTCCTAATAAGAGTATTATGATCAACGCAATCAAATGCCTTTGAGAGGTCACAGAAAACACCAATAGCGTTCTGGGACCTTTCCCAAGCATCGAAGATGTGTTTTAGTAACGCTACCCCCGCATCGCTAGTCGATCTACCACTAGTAAACCCGTATTGTTCACTATGAAAAATATGATTCCTACCTAAATAGGACAGTAATTGAGTTAGCATAACCTTTTCGAATATTTTACTTAAAGCTGGTAAAATTGAAATGGGCCTATAGTTGCTAGGATCAACTTTCCTACCGCTTTTGAATAAGGGAATAACCTTGCTGTATTTCATTAAATCGGGAAAAACACCTTCGTCAACGCACCTATTGAAAGCTACAGCTAACTGTGGGGAAATGAGATTAATAACTGAGTCTATAACTTTAGTTGATATGCCCCAGAGATCTTCAGTTTTTTTAACATGTATTGACTTAAAAGCTTTTATGATGTCTTGTGGATTAACATGACGAAAATTAAATAAACTGCCACAAACGTTAACATTTTCCTTTAGGAGATCAAAAGCAAGTGAAGGGGAGGAATTTAATGATTTTGTAGTGTTCACAGCAATTTCCGAAAAGAACGATTCAAAAGCTTGGGCTACTTTATTTTTAGATTTTATAAGTTTGCTGTCTAATTCTAAAACTATATCTCTATCGTGTAGTTTAACCCTGCCTGACTCTTTATTTATTATGCTCCAAGTAGTTTTAGATTTATTTATCGATTGTCTAATTTTGTCGCTCTTGAAACTTAACCTTAGCAGCTACACAAACTTTTTTAAATATTTTCGAATAAATTCTAACATATTCTATGAAATTGGAATTAGTATTATAAGTTTTCATAGCATATAGCTCATACATTCATGCAAAAGCTAAAACGTTGAATTTAAATTGTAATGTCATCGCAGAATCGCGCTGTCAGTCGAACAAATGAAGACTAAAGCGGAGTTTGACGCTCTGTATACGATTTTAACGCCTTACAAGTTCGGACACTTTTTAGCGCGGACCCGACGTCCATATAATTGTAAGTCAATGGTTCTTATAGTATTTGTTTGCTTTTCTCACAGAAAAATAAATAAGTTTTTCTCGCAATATATGTTTTACATAAATGTGTATAAAATTAATAATAAATGTTCTATGTGCTTTTACGAGTATGTTATACTCTGTGAAGTGATTGTAAATGTTTTGTTTCTGTTTGTATTTGTGCTGAATGAACGTGTTATCTATCTATCTATTTTTTTGTGTGTGCATGTGTGTGAGTGTGTGTGTGTATATATATTTTATTTTAATAATACTCACGTCTCAGCACACTAGGCCGACGCTCTCCCAACTGAGCCACGGAGCGATATCAGACCTCACACTTTCAGTAATGACTAGTTTGAGATCAGCCACCTAAACAATTCTTGAACTTCGGATTTTGAGAAAGTTTTTTTTGAAATGTTTAAATTTGAAATTGCACTCTGAACGTCAAACGTATTTTAAAGTTACACGGCTAGATCCTAGGTTATTGGTGTGATAGACAGAAATGTTTATTACGTTAAAAACATTAATCCTGCAATTTTTTGTCTGACTTATTTTCAATTTTTACCTTTAGTAATAACACTTTAGTAACGGCACTGTCGGTTCTTTTCCTTTGCACTTGTGTTTGAATACTGGCATATAACATGATGTGACGACAAACATAGATGGAATGCTATGAATGCCGTTAGTAATACCTGGTTGCAGATTTGATATCTGATGCAACCTATGTCGTGACAGAATTTCATTATATGAGGACATTCACAAAAGTTCAATGTTATAAATAGATTATGGTTAGATTAGAGCCTCACTACAAATCCAGCAATGGAATGTAGAGTTTGTCCACTCACTTTCACATTAATGTTCGTGACCTCGCAAGAAAAAAAAAAAAAAAAATTATGTGTTCTTCAAAATCCGGAGTCCATTTTGTTTTATAATGGGTTGGACGTTAATACAGACCTGGTAATGTGTTGGTCGCTTTATATTGAAACTGCACGATGACGCGGCTTACTACAGAGCTTTCAAATTTAGTTCCGCATTGAATCGTCCAGTTGTGGTCGGGGTATAATAGAATATCCAATAGATTGTCACTACGTACGCTGAATGCGGCCTCGCGTATATCTGAAAGGTCATTTGTAATTTTCTTCAGTACCGGCAGCCCTATAAGTACTACGATAGTCTCGAATCCCCATTTGGAGATGTCGGGAACCGTGTTGGGCTCTAGACATTATACAAGAATTCAATGTTTTACTCAATGGCTTACCATCATTATTGTAGTACTTATAGAGGACAGGCTTGCCAGAATATATGTGACCAATTTACTGGCGCATTTATTCGTGTTTTTACTGAATGAGCATTACAGCCAGAAAGACCACCTCACCTGAGCAGGGTGATCGTACTAACCTCAGTGGATTCTGCACAAAGAACTCCACCGCCAATAGCACTTAGTACATCTATTGAATAAATATATTTACCATCAGAATCATATATTGCGAAATAATTAAACAAGAAGTGGTCAGTCTTTCTATGACATCCCAATTTGAGCCATAGTGGTGAACTGTATTTCAATGTTCCTTTGCACTTCGCTATTTCGCCATCGTCTTCGTATTCCCAATTGTCAATATCTGGTACACCACTTATATACAAGTCTGTAAATAAATGAATACTGAGACTCTTCGAATTTCGAGCCGTTTCGTTTAAAAATTATAAAATCCTACAACGAGCGTATCCAATACATTGTTCGGTTTTATTGAATGGGAAATTATTTTAATACGTACTTTGAAGCAGGTGTTCACATCCCTTTTTGTTAATGTCAGGATTTTGTACTGTAAAATATAGAACAAAATAGTAAATTGTACACAACACTAATAGCCCCGCACTAGGGAAACCGTGTATAACGAGTGCCATGGATACTCATATAGACAACCACAATTTACACCCAAACTCACGAGAGAAATAAATGTAGGTCATACAAATATTTCTCCCGCCCCGAGAATGGAATCAAGGACCTCTGCGTAGCAGTTCAGCATGGTTAACGGTCATTAGACCTACGCCAATAAATATTACTTAATTACGCTTCATATTTATTTAAGTGAAGATTTATTACACGTAATATAACTGATAAATCACTATTTCATAGTAGAATAAAACAAGGGCAGATAGGACTGATTTTGTTACTGACGTTCTTCAACCTCCGCAGATTATACTAAGCTGCACTCTTCAATCTTGCCACGTCTATGTGAATAAAAAGGTGTACCAGAAACTCATGGCATTAAATGTTAGACAAAATCGAACGACTTTCACCTGGCAATGTTAACTTGTCACGTGTCACCTCAAAATATTATTTGTGTCAAACAATCTCTGCCTGCTAAACTTTGTTTACTTGAAAACATCGAGTATATAACCAGAAATAGAGACGAAATGTCATTTTATTTGTTTGAAAACTAGTCTGTCATATCATTACCGTAACAACTGCGCTCCGATTGGCTAGCCCGAGTTCGAAACAATTGATGGGTGTCGTCATTGTCGTCAACTGTTTCACTTCAAATCGACCAGTTAACTTGAGCTTTGCTATAATGGACGAAAATTGCAAAATTACATATTTAATATTTAATTACCGATGAAATGTGATTCCGTTTGTTTTGTACTTAGATGTTTTGCTGTTTTTCCCACACCACCGAATAGAACAGCACGGCATTATAAGAGATATTATCTTTATTACAGTAAATACAAAATATTTTTTGGAATATACGGAGACGTACACACAGGTCAGTAGTTGGGCTGTCTATATTTCAGTGCAAACGAGAGTTGATATTTATAAGAGCTGTATCGCTAATGTGTTACCAGGAATATATGGCCCTTATTTCGTCTCTATTTCTGGTTATATACTCGATGCTTGAAAGTAACGACTACGTATTGAGCGGACTATAGAGATATCCTGCATAGAGCTTGAACGGCTAGTTATATTAAGCGTGTACAGACCCCCTCATTCATCTTACGAACTATTTGAAAAAAGATTAGATGAAATTTTAGGCAAATTAAATAATCCAAATAAATATATTGCTGTTTGTGGTGACTTCAATGTTAACTTATTGGAAGATTCCAGTGCTAGCAGTAGGCTCATATCATTTTTCCAATGTTATAATCTTGTGAATCTTTTCTTGGTGCCTACTAGAATAACTTCTACTACTGCCACTTGTTTGGACAATATTTATACTAACGCCGTACCTAGTAATAAATCTATTATAAATAAATTAACTTCTGATCACTGCGATCAATTGGCCACTTTTAATATAACTGTTGACAAAATGCCAAAAAAGGATATCACATGTGTTCCGATAAATAATGGTCGACTTAAAAATAATGTAAGCTTATAGAAATAATGTAATGCTTAAACTAACTGAACTTCCGTACGTTAACGATCCCAATAAATTGTATAATTCAGTTTTCAACATAGTCAAAAGTGAACGTGATAACGTTTTTAGATCCAAAATCATAACTATTAATAATTCATTGAAATTTAGTGATTGGGCGACTGTGGGAATTCACAAAAATAGACAAAGACTATATGATCTTTACGATGAAAGGACTTATAACACTAGTAACAGTTTTAATGATTTTGTTAGGAAATATTCGAAAATGTTTAAACGTGTTTGTGTTGCAGCCAAAGCAATGTTTATAAATAATAAAATAAAAAGCAGCGCGAATGTAGTAAAAACGACTTGGAATATTATAAACAGCGAAACTGGAAGGGTCAAACCTCGTAACTTAGATTTTCAACTAAGATTTAATGACAAAATTGTAAACACAGACGCAGAAGTTGCTAAAATATTTGAAAATTTTTTACTGACATTCCAATTTTGACTACTAAGTCGTTAAATTCATCTCCCACCGCCGCTGAATCCTTACTAAAAGAAAATAATGCAGTTAGTATCACAAATTTAAGGTTCCGTCATGTATTTCCAAACGATATTGTTAAAGCCTTTAAGTCTATAAACATAAAAAATACTGCTGATCTTAATGGTCTTTCAGTCAGAGTAATTAGTTCTATAGTTGATTGTATTGCGCCTTATTTAGCCTGTGTCTTTAATAAATGTGTTGATGATGGTGTCTTTCCTGACCTCATGAAGCAAAGTAAAGTTATTCCACTTTTCAAATCTGGTAGTATTTCTGACCCCACCAATTTCAGACCTATATCAATACTACCAACTCTCAGTAAAATATTTGAAAAAATTATTCTAAATCAGATGTGTGCACATTTTTATAGTAATAACTTAATGTCTCCTAAACAATTTGGTTTCACTCGGGGTCGCTCTACAACCGATGCTGGTGTCGAGTTGATTAATCATATATTTGATGCATGGGGAAGTCTCACATGATGCTATTGGTGTATTCTGTGACCTTTCCAAAGCTTTTGATTGTGTGCACCATGATACACTGGTCAGGAAACTTCGCCATTATGGTGTGGCGGGACGTGATCTCGACCTTCTTAAATCGTATTTGCGTGGTAGGGTACAGAGGGTCGATGTTAACGGTACGAGATCGTCAGGATCTGCAATTAGCATGGGTGTCCCTCAAGGTTCAATTCTAGGCCCATTTTTGTTTTAAGTTTATATTAATGACTTACCTAGCCTTATGGAGGGTGTAAAACATGAGATAGTATTGTTTGCTGATGATACTTCCTTATTATTTAAAGTTAAAAGGCACCAATGTTCCTACGACGATGTGAACAATGCTATATCTAAAGTAGTTGATTGGTTTGCTGTTAATAACCTACTTCTTAATGAGAAAAAAACAAATTGTGTGAAATTTACATTACCCAATGTTACAAACATTGTAGTTAGAAACGAAAAATTGAATCTTGTGGATACAGTTGTATTTCTAGGTATAACGTTAGATGCTAAATTACAATGGGGTCCCCATATAAGTAAGTTATCAAAACGGCTCGGCTCTGCAGTGTACGCGATTAAAAAAATAAGGAAACTTTCAGACGTCGAAACCGCTAGATTAGTTTACTTCAGTTACTTTCACAGTCTAATGACATACGGCATTTTGCTTTGGGGTAATGCCGCCGATATCAATAGAATTTTTGTCCTGCAGAAACGTGCAGTTAGGGCAATTTACAATCTGGGCCCCAAAGTATCTTTGAGAGATAAGTTTAAGGAAATTAACATTCTTACACTAGCCTCACAGTACATTTATGAAAATGTAATTTATGTTAAAAGGAATAGTAATTTATTTATGAAAAATAGTGACAGACATAACATTAATACGAGGAATAGAAATAAACTAGCTTTTCTTGATAGTCGTCTTCACAAAGTCAAAAAATCATTTAAGGGGCAATGTATACGCTTCTATAACAAGATTCCGGTTGATATACAAAATTTGCCTTTCACGAGGTTTAAAACTATAGTGAAACAAAAACTTTATACTAATGGTTATTATTCAACTTCTGCGTACTTGGATGACAAAAATCCGTGGTAGTAACCCGTTTAGCTCATGGAGGTAGTCTCGATCTCTGATGTTTTAAATAAAAAAAATATTGTAAATGCTATTTACAAAGAGCAACCCCTAGAGTTTCTTGCTCATTCTTCTCAGGGGAATCTGCCTTACGAATGAGCGGTAGAGTTTAACCATTGTGACGATTTCAAGAGTAATAATGCTTACCTATGAAATAAAGATTATTTTGAATTTGAATTTGAATTTGAATTTGAATTTAACGATTTTGTAGCAATAACTACTGAGAATCCGCTTCAATCTCAAGCACAAAACATTGTAACGAATTAGGTTCATTTAAGTCAAAATTCACGATTTAGAAGCGGGTCTCAAATTTTGCCGATTAGAAGTAGTAAAATAAACTTGATCTTTGAAATTTTAACGAATCCAAATCAATGTATGTGGTATGAAATTTTTGTTGCTACTGGTGCTGGTCGACAAGGCTAGTGTGTAGACAATGATTGGCAAAAAAGGCAAATGGCGTCAATGCGAATTACATCAAACTGCAAACGTAAATAAATCTAACACCCACAATGTTTCTGATATATTTTTGTTTAATTTTAATAGTTTAATTTAAAGCATAAACTCTGTCACTTTTGTTATTACAAAAAAAAACTGCTAAACAAAGATGTATGTGTCTCCTTCGGAGAGAATCGGACGAACTTCTTTTTCCTTTGGTTACTAAATTAATTACAAACAACTCTAGCGTCTCCTCTTTTATCATCGTCATCGTCATCATCTCCTCTGTTAAATTAATAGCTCTATACTTACCTACAATATTAAGTCTGAACTGACACAGTTTTTCATATTGTATAGAATTGAGACGTGAATAACCAACGCTGTTGGGATCAACTTCCAAAACGCAATCGAATTCTCCGTGCATTGATTGTATTGGCTGAAAGTAAAAATAAAATAAAGAATAAGATTTCATAACGGTGCTGTGTTTGGATGGTGATTGTTATTGAGTGTTCCGTTGAAAATAAGGAAGTCCAAACAAATTTTCACTTATATTATTGCTACCCCATAACACAAGGTATATAGTGAAGGTTCGCACAAGATATACAGAGTGTTTTTGTTTTATAGGATAGGATGGGGAAACCTGAAACCAAGTCGAGTCGACTAGCACTAAACAAATTTTGATCAATTTTATTCATTTTTATGGCCAAAACAAGCTTGACCAAAATATTGACTACGTCAAAATTGTTTTCCCAAAAAAAGACTTCTGTGGTTTAGGATATCCCCATACTGCCCCAATAAAAAAAACACTGTGTCGGAGAGACAGGAATGAGTACGGAACGATGAGCATAACAAAGATTACACACTTGATGTCTATTCGCAGCATACAGACGACTCGGGTGAGCACGTCGCGGGTGTTAGGGAGAGGAATCCGCTCATTCAAAATTAATAATAGGGGTTAAAGTATGAAATTGCCGATTTGTACTGAAAATCTAAATTGTTAATTTTTTAAATTTTTAACAAATTTATTTAATCAAAATAGTTGCCATTATTATCTATACATTGCTGCCATCTAATGGGAAGGTTCTTAATGCCTTTGCGATAGAACTCCGACGATCTAGACTGCACAAACTGTGTGAAAGCATTTTGTACTGCCTCCTGGGAAGAAAACTTCTTGTCACGTAGATAATTGTCCAAATCACGAAAAAAATGGTAGTCCGTTGGAGCAAGGTCTGGTGAATACGGAGGATGACGAATGGTTTCTAACTGCAGTTCGTGAAGGGTCAAAATGGTTTCTCGTGCTGTGTGAGGTCTCGCGTTGTCGTGGAGCAATAATGGTGAAGATCGATTCATGAGTCGGGGCTGTTTTACTGCTAGTTTTGTCAACATGGTTCGGAGTTCGGCACAATAGACATCTGCCGTTATTGCTTGACCAGATCGGAGAAAACTATAGTGAATAACACCATGCTGAGACCACCAAACAGTTACCATTACCTTTTTATTGGTAAGTTTTGCTTTAGGACACTGTTGTGGCATTTGACCTGGGGTCAGCCATTGCATTTTTCTTTTCCGGTTATCATAAAGAATCCACTTTTCATCACATGTTACAATTCGATCTAATATTCCTTCATTTCTGTACCGGTTCAACAAGGCAACACAAGTTTCAACACGCGTTTCTTTCTGCAGATCAGTCAAATCATGAGGCACCCATTTTTCGTATTTTTTTATTTTATTGATTTGACGCAAGTGAGTCAATATTGTGGGTAAGGTAACGTTAAACCATGCCGCTAATTCCTGGGTAGTTTGACTAGGATCGGCTTCCACTATCTCTCTTAATTCATCGTTATTCACCTGTGTGGGCGGTCTTCCTCGTGGCTCGTTCGTAAGTCGAAATTTCCATCACGAAAGCGTTTAAACCAAAATCGCACGGTGCGTTCATTAGTAGACCCCTCTCCAAACGCAGCATTGATATTGCGGGCTGTTTCTGCCGCGTTAGTTCCGCGTCGGAACTCGTATTCAAAAATCACTCGAATTCTCGCAGTATCCATCTTTCTTGTCTAAATTGAATAACAAAAA